AAATTACAGATCAACAAAACTATTCAGAGATATGATTCCAAACTATAAATTTTGGGCACTTGCTATCCTGCACCTGCATCTGTTTTACGAGTAATTTAAATCATCTTATGTTCTGTCAAAGCTCAGAATCTGTGATTTTTAAATTTCTTTATTTTTTAAATAGTCCTGAATGATTTAGTTATTAGTGACTATGTTATAGCTCGTAAGTGTCTGCTTTTATATTTGGTGTTGGTTTCTTTTGCTTAGATTAATATATGCTGGTAGGGAACATCTATTTGTTCACTTGCTATTTACAATGAGTATGGAAAGTATTAGGACCCCCTTAAATTTTTCTCTCTTTGTTACATTACAGCCATTTGCTAAAATAATTTAAGTATTTTTTTTCCTCATTAATGTACACGCAGCAACCCATATTGACAGACAAACACACAAATAAAACATTATTGACATTTTTGCAGATTTATTAAAAAAGAAAACTGAAATATCACATGGTACCAAGTATTCAGACTCTTTGCTCAGTATTTAGTAGGAGCATATTTTTGATCTAATACAGCAATAAATCTTTTTGGGAAGTTTTTTTCACATCTGGATTTGGGGATCCTCTACCCCTCCTCCTTGCAGTTCCTCTCCAGTTCTGTCAGGTTGGATGGTAAACTTTTGTGACAGCCATTTTAAGTCTCTCCAGAGATACTCAATTGGATTTAAGTCAGGGCTCTGGCTGGGCCATTCAAGAACAGTTATAAAGTTGTTGTGAAGCCACTCCTTTGTTATTTTAGCTGTGTGCTAGGGTCATTGTCTTGTTGAAAGGTAAACCTTTGACCCAGTCTAAGGTCCTGAGCACTCTGGAGAAGGTTTTGTCCAGGATATCCCTGTACTTGGCCGAATTCATCTTTCCGTCGATTGCAACCAGTCATCCTGTCCCTGCATCTGAAAAAAAAAAAAAAAAAAAAAACACACAGCATGATTCTCCATGCTTTACTGTTGGGACTGTATTGGATAATCAGTGCCAAGTTTTCTTCACACACACACCGCCAAAAAGTTCTATCTTGATCTCATCAGACCAAAGAATCTCATTTCTTACCATCTTAAAGTCCTTCAGGTGTTTTTTTTTTTTTTTTTAGCAAACTCCATGCAGGCTTTTTCTGTTGGGCCAGTTTGCCATAAAGCCCTGACTGGTGGAGGGCTGCAGTTTTGGTTGACTTTCTACAACTTTCTCCGATCTCTCGACTGCATCTCAGGAGCTCAGCCAAAGTGACCTTTGGATTATTTTTGGCTAGACAAACAACTCTAGATTAGATTAGATTAGATTAAATTCAACTTTATTGTCATTACACATGTAAAAGTACAAGGCAATGAAATGCATTTTAGGTCTAACCAGCAGTGCAATAGCAGCAAGTTCAGGAAACAGGTATAAGTTATAAAGTGCAGTTATTGAAAAACTATAGTGATATTCACAGATGGATGTACTATCAACATTATATACAGGTTGTATTAGCTATGAACAGAAATTTACAATAAATGAATATATGTACAGGTTGCTATTAATAATCAGAAGTGTGCAAATAAATAAACATGATTACAAATGTATATGTACAGTGGGTGTGTACATAATTACAAAAATCCATGTGCAGTGGGTATGTACAGCTCAAATAAGTAAATCAGTGCAATGTAGTGCAATGAATATGTGAAAAATTTAAATGTGGGGGGGGCCGGGGGAGCCTGAAGCGCCTGCCGGAAGGCAGGAGTGAAAACAGTCTGTGAGCAATGTGAGTGGTGTCCTTAAGAATACTGCGTGCAGGCAGTGTTTCTTCTGGATGTCCTCTATGGCTGGCAGTATGCTCCCTGTGATACGTTGGGAAGTTTTCACCACCTGCTGCAATGCCTTACGCTCAGCAACAGAGCAGCTTCCATACCAGACTGTGACGCAATTGGTCAGGATGCTTTCTATTGTGCAGCCGTAGAAGTTCACCAAGACGGCTGATGAAAGCTGGTTCTTCCTAATTTGCCTTAAGAAAAATAGGCGCTGGTGAGCCTTCTTGACCAGACTGGAGATGTTGGTGGTCCAGGAAAGGTCCTTTGAGATGTGGGTCCCCAGGAACTTGAAAGATGAGACAGGCTCAACGACCATCCTATTGATGTGGATAGGATCACGTGAACCTGTTCATCCCTTTCTGAAGTCCACAATGAGGCCCCTGGTCTTGTTGGTGATAAAGAGCAGATTATTGTCTGTGCACCAAGTGGCCAGATGCTGTATCTCCTCCCTTTAGGCTGTCTCATCATTGTTGCTGATTAGTCCAATCACTGTGGTGTCATCTGGAAATTTGATGATGATGTTGGATCAGTTCACAGGCCTACAGTTGATGGTAAAAAGGGAGTAGAGGAAGGGGCTCAGCACACAGCTCTGTGGTACACCAGTGTTGAGTGTGACGTGTGGTGGAGCAGATGTGGCCTGATCTAACATTCTGAGGTCTGTTAGTGATTAAGTCCATAACCCAGCTGCAGAGAGACATGTCGATATCCAGGTCTCTAAGTTTGATCATTAACTGGGCGGGTATGACAGTGTTGAATGCTGAGGTGAAGTCAACAAACAGCATTCGTGCATAAGTGTTTTTATGGTCCAGGTGTGTGAGTACAGAGTGCAGTGCTATGGAGTTGCATCTTCTGTGTTCCTATTGCAGCGGTAGGCAAACTGATGTGGGTCCAGTGTGGATGGCAGAGAGTCTTTCAGATGTGCCAGGTCCAACCGTTCGAAGCACTTCATGATGATGGGTGTGAGTGCTACAGGGCGGTAGTCATTCAGGCATGTTGGGCTGCAGTGTTTCGGCACTGGCACAATAGAGGTGGTTTTAAAGAATGTTGGCACAGCTGCTAGGTTAAGTGATGGATTGAAAATGTCTGTAAATACCCCAGCGAGCTGTTCTGCACATGCTTTGAGGAATAAGTTTAAGTTTGTGTGATTAAAATCTTCCGCAACAATAAAAATTGCCTCTGGGTGAGCAGTCTGTTGTTTGCTGATGGCTGCATGAAGTTTATTCATAACAAGCTTGGCATCAGCATCAGGAGGAATATAAGCAGCAGTTACAATAGTGAATGTGAACTCCCTTGGTAGATAAAATAGTCTACATTTAACCATTAGAAATTCCAGGTTAGCAGAGCAATGTCTCTGATCAAAGTCATCCGCCGTTCTGTCTGCTCGAAATGTGTTATGCTCAGTTAAAAATACAGCATTGTCTGGTATCCCGCTGGTAGCCATGTTTCTGTGAAAATCATGACATTACAGTTCGATAGTATTTTGCTGTGGTTGATGAGCAGTTGAATCTCATCCATTTTGGTTACCAGTGAATGTACATTGGCCAGAAAGATGCTGGGTAAAGAGAGCCTGTGTGGTATTAGCTTTAGCTTAGCTCTTAGCCTGCCGTGCTACCCCCGCCTTTGTTTACCGTCTCGACGCCGCCTTTAAGCACATCCGCCCGGCCAGCCGGGCCGCTCAGCCTCAGGTGTTCTGGCAATCTCAGGGATGAGTTGAAGATTGCTAATAAAACTGTCTGGAATGCACAAACAAATATCCAAGATCTCCTGTCGGGTGTACGATGTAAAGGCACTACTGTTCTGCATGAACAGACCCGAAATAAGCAGGAATAATACTGCAAAACTGCATAAACTGGAGAGACGCTCAGCCTCGTAATGTGTATGCGCCACCATCTTGCCTATAGGAAGGGTTCTGGTCATCCCAAAGTGTTTCATTTAAGGATTATAGAGGCCACTTTGCTCTTAGGCACCTTAAGTGCAGCAATATTTTTGTCACCTTGGCCAGATCTGTGCCTTGCCACAGTTATGTTTCTGAGATCTTCAAAGCAGTTCTTTTGACCTCATTCGCTCTGATTTGCATTGTGTAGGTGTGTGGTTTTCCTAATCAAGTCCAATCAGTATAATCAAACACAGCTGGACATAAATAAAGAATAATCTCAAGGATAATCAGAAGAAATGAACCGCCCATGAGTTAAATATATAAGTGTTACAGCAAAGGGTCTAAATACTTAAGACCGTGTGGTATTTTAGTCTTTTTTTGTAATACGTAAATCTGCAAAAATGTCAACAATTCTGTGTTTTTCTGTCAATATGAGGTGTTGTGTACATTAATGAGAAAACAGAAATGAACAAATGATTTTAGCAAATGGCTGCAATATATCAAAGAGTGAAAAATGTAACGGGGTCTGAATGCTTTCTGTACCACTGTATACTTTGACTTTGCATTTCAAATAATATTTTAATTACTCTTAACCAGAAAATTACAATTAAAACTGTATAAAAAGCACACAAATGACTGAAAGTTATTTATTTATTCATTCATTTATTTTCTTTTCGACTTAGTCCCTTTATTAATCCGGGGTCGCCACAGTGGAATGAACCGCCAACTTCTCCAGCAAGATTTTACGCAGCGGATGCCCTTCCAGCCACAACCCATCTCTGGGAAACATCCTCATAAACATTCAGACACACACACACTTATAAACTACAGACAATTTAGTCTACCCAATTCACATGTACCGCTTGTCTTTGGACTGTGGGGGAAACCGGAGCACCCGGAGGAAACCCACACGAACGCAGGGAGAACAAGCAAACTCCACAAAGAAACTCCAACTGAGCCGATGCTCAAACCAGCAACCCAGCGACCTTTTTGCTGTGAGGCGAAAGCACTACCTATTGTGCCACTGCATCGCCCCACTTTAAGTTATATAGTTTTAAAAAGTTTCTGCATTTACACTGTTTGGCCAGCAGGTGTCACCACATTAGGTGCTTTGGAGTTTTTGAAAGTGTGAATCATTTTGTGAAGCATATGCATCAAATGATTCAAAACTTCAAAAAGCTTTGTTGCTCTGGTCAGTATGTTCAGCCATAAAAAAACCCTGTTCTGCAAGTTGTGGTTAGTGGTCTTTCACATAGCTAAAGAAAAAAAAAGTTTAATGATTCATGCTTTGATGACAATCAACACAGTTACATTCATTCAATTATTTTATTTTCGGCTTAGTCCCTTTATTAATCAGGGGTCGCCAAAGTGAATTGAACCACTTCACAACACATTTACATCATCCAAAAACAAATTAAGAAGACATAAAAAGTAAAAAGTCAAATAGCCAAAAACCACTGTCCAGAATAGTGCAACCAACAAAAATATATATTTTTTTTAACAAATGAATTTGTCAGTAGATTGTGAATTGTAAATGTAATGCAATGATTTTTAGAAAATTTAATTAAAAATCTTTAGATCTTTAGTACAATTTTATGTCATGTTACATAAAGTCACAGAAAACAGAAACATGAATGTGCTTGTATGCAATTGTCTAAGTCAATATAATGCTATCATGTTACGTTACAATACAATAAAGAGACCTTTGCAGAAGTTTGCTTCCATTATCAGTGGCAATTTTTCCCCTTAACAATAAAGAAAGTTCCAATAGCCAGACCCAAAAGTCCAAGAGTCAGACCTACTCCACAGAACACTAATGGACCAACGCTTGGGAGGACAACATCAACATCTGGAAAACAACATTATGACTAAATATCAGAAGATGCATGAATATTTGGTGCGTGATTATAATTATATTAAAATTATATACTTGTACTCCTATCTTTTATATATATAAACATATACTCACCCCATAATTTGGTCTGAGGTTGGCCCTGGAGTGCTTCATGGTCCACTGTGCAGCTGTAAATGTCTCCTTCAGCAGGCATGAACGTAAGAGTGGAGAAAATGTTGAAGGTGCCATCTAACCTCGGATGGTACAAACTCAATCTCATACCCTCTGTCACGATAACATTATTCTTAGTCCATGAGATGTTGACAAACGGAGGATAGAAGCCAGTCACATGACAGACAAGGGTGTTCTGAACTCCCAGCTGTACATAACCCTTTGAATAGATGGATGTCTGCGGTGCATCTAGAAATAGATAACTTATTTTAATCTGCGAATTCAAATAAAATTCAATATCTTCCCTAATGACAAGCATGTTTAAAACAATTCAAGCTAAAATGTGGCACATGTCGGTCTTGGCATTCGTGAGAAGATAATGGGCCAGAGCCATGCAAACTCTCCAAAACACCTCTGGCTAACAGACAGATTTTTCTCTACGAAGTGATCTTGGTACATTTGACAGGCCCACTGCAGGTGAGTGCACTGAGAAAGCAGAACTTCATTGAATTATCATTGAATAAACAATTGATGAGTTGAAACTTCAACTTTGAGTTTTTATCAGGTTTGCAAGGTAACTCTAAACAGCAATAGTTGAATACACATTCCATCAAAGTGTCCAAATGATGTTTGATGTCAGTGTCTAAATGATGATTAAAAATATCTATCATAATCTTTGGACTTCAATCACATCAGTAGATTAAATCTACTAATATAAAACACTAAATCTCTCAAAGTCTCAGCATTGAACAGACATTATTTGAGGATGCAAACCTGATGAAAAGTCAATGTTGAATTTCTATTGTTGATTTAATGATAAATCAATGAAGATCTGCTATCTGGGCATCTACCATTGTCCCATTTTGGCACAGACACCGAAATTTGTTTCTAAAAATGTTCTAAAAATAATTTTCTTGATTGCTGTGTATTATGGCAAAACACACTAAACAATTTGATTATCTTTTTGGTTTATCAAAAAATAGTTTGATTCGTTGAACTAGTCGGGGGTCAGGTGTTAATTTTTTTTTTTTTACAATTTTTACCACATCATGTCTTACCCATTTCTGGCGGTGGGTTCTTGAAGCTTTTAATGAAGACAAGTAAATTTGATTTGCAACCAGATATATATTGAATGGCACGTTCATAAAACCCAGGGAATGTCACATCATCTGCAAACTTTGGTGATGTATCGACTCCTCTCTTCTGAGCAAAGTCAGCATGCCATATTTCCTCTCCATCATATCCAATAAAAAACTCTTGTTCTGTATTGGAGCACACTTGAAATTGAATTGCTTCATGTTCAACTGAAACAAATCAAAAATAATAAAATGCATTTGTTAAACAACTGCTTTTTTTGTTGTTTTTAAATTAGATTCGCATGTGCGCGCACGCGCACACACACACACACACACACACACACACAAATTCATTTATTGATATTTTTTTATTATTTTTCCTTTTAGTTTTTCATGTTATACAAACAGCGTGATTGACAATTAATTATAGCATGTAAAATAAAAGCTAGTGTTTAAACAGCATAAAAAAAAATCCCAGTTGAAAAGCGCAACTAAAGCAGACTGACCTCCATTATGGTGACTTCAAATGAACTACAATTTTGTTAAGAGCTTTTGTTTACATGACAGAAATAAAGTCAAAGGTGAATAATAAGTAAAGCTCCTGATGTTTGTGGAGTTGTTTATTGATCTCTGCTGAAATCTTGAGAAATTAAATTTTTGTTGTGTAATTTTCTTTTAATTTTTATTAAATATTATTTTATTCAGAGTTTTATTTTCAGTTGAATTAATCTTTGATTTTGACTGCTATTTCTATTTTTCTTTCCTTCAGTGATTCTGTTGTTAACAGTTGTTTATCAATTTTTCTCAATCCTCCTCTAATTAGCCACTGAATTATTTAATTAACTTCGTCACTGTCTGAGTGTTCAACCCTGTGCAGTGAGGACACTAGTGAGGATTTTGCTCTGGGATTTAAGGGGTTAAATGTGTTCGATGAAAAACACAGACTGTTGAACAGGGATGGCCAACCCTGTTCCAGAGCTATCTTCCTGCAGGTTTCAGTTGCAACCCATATCAAATACACCTGCCTGTAATTACCACGTGCTGTTCAGGTCCTAAATAATTGGTTCAGGTGTGTTTGATATGGGTAGCAACTGAAATCTGCGGGAAGGTAGATCTCAAGGAACAGGGTTGGCCACCCCTGCTGTGGAATGTATTTTTAAAAGAAATATTCTGTAGATTGAATTTATGAATGTAAAATGTTAAAAACAGTAGATTACTGGCAACCAAAGCTGCAATCACATCTGCAATCACACATAAACACATTAATGCATTTAATGACTTTACAATTTTGTGAACTGAGCTATAACAGCTCAATACCAATATGCTCACATTATTATTACGACATAAATATTATTTTAAAAGCAAATGGCAGTTGATTTGATTTAGGTTTTATTTTTTAGCTTCAGAAAATAAAAACAAACCATCTCAAATGTTTGTAAATGAACATTGTATTGATTAATGGAATACGTTTTTTTTTTTTTCTGTAAATTTAAACAGTTCTATAAAGCTTTAGAATTTTTTAAAACAAAAAATCTGGCAACCACAGATGCTGATATTTTTTTTGTAAGTTTAAAAAAAGCATGGTGACATTTTAGTTTTTCACACTATTTACTACTGACTTATTATCTGCCTTTTATTAAGATATTAACTGTTTACAGTCAATATTAACAATTAGCACTTATAAAGTATGATGTTATATTGCATCCTTATACCCAATTCCTAAACCCAACTAATATCCTACTAACTAAAAAAGCAGCTTATTAGTAGGAGTTTGTTTTAACAAAAAAAGTCTTAGTTAATAATTTGTTATTAGTGTGAATTGTACATTTAAATAAAGTGTGACCGAAAGTACAAACCATAATTTCAGAGAGAAATTTAATCAATGTTGATGCTGAAAGCCTCTCTACTTTACTTATCTATTTTATAGTTCTAAAGCAAATTGCAGGACTATTTGTCACGATTAGTGACTTTGATTTGATTGAAATTGATGTAAGCAACTATTAGCCGGCATTGCAAATAACATTTTGAAATGTAAGATTTTAATCATAAACATTGCTCCACGACAACCCTACCACCAAATGGATGATACTTTTGAAAGCCATCTGCTTGGAGGTATTTGGTTCTGCCAAGAGCTCTTAAATAAAATTTATTAAAATGTTTAATCAGATTTGTGTAGCATGAATAGAATCAATCTTGTGAGGCTCAAGCTAAATGCAAAACAGCTAAAAGTCAAAATGCAAAGATCTATTTATATATTTTATGCTACATGAAATACTCTGTTCCCTAAAATAAACTGTACACTTATTTCAAGTTGTTTATTGAGGTTGAAATCCACTATTGGACTTATTCACTTTTTTCTACTCTGTAAAACCCAACAGTCACATTTATCAAATGAAATGAGTGTAGTTAACTCAAAATTTACTGAAAGTTAATTTTATTTATTTGAAGAGTTTGAACTCAGTGTTGAAGGTAATGAGTTAATTAAATACTTCATTTCTTCAACTTAAATGGAGCAAGTTTACAGTACTCATATAGATTAGTTTTTAACTCAAATTGTTGCAGTTGGTTTCATAAATGGTTTAAGTTGCCTTAACGTATTGAGTTTTACAGTACTCATTTGGATTAGCTTTTGAATTTAAATGGTTTATTGCAATCGATTTCCTCACATGGTTTGAGTTACCTTAACTTTTTGAGATTTACAGTGTATTAATAATATTAAGAAACTACCAAAAAAAAAAAAAAAAAAAAAAACGTGTTCAGTGAGGCAACACTATCACTTTTTAATTTATTTGTTTTAATGGTTAAAAATTATAAACCAAATTGTCTAATGTTATGCAATAAATAATTATGTGGCTGTCTAACCACAAACGACAAAAGCAAGTTTTTAAAAAACGTAATATTCACATTTAAATTTATATCCACTACTTTTAAAACGTTGTCAATCCAATTAAAAGCTTTAACTTACATTCAGTACCAGCTGAGAGAACAAATACTAGAGAGAGAATGATTATATGCAGCTCCATCTTGACAGATGAGAATCAAACGTTTAAGGAAATATTTGAGGTAAAACAAAAACAGCATTGTTAGACTTTGCATCATGATCCACTCAGATTGTGAGTCACACAATGACATCACTGTATCTTGGAGAAATATTTTTGTTGTTTTTTAGCTCAACGTTCTGACTAATCTTAACTACACAGTAAACCAAAACATTTTTATTTATTTATTTTTTTTTTTACAAAGAAAATGTGGTAACACTTTAACACTTTATATGTGCTAATCACATATTTCAAAAGATTTTACAGCATATTTTCACTGTAGATTGTACCAGCTTTTACTAATCTGACACAGTTGGTACAATCTCCTGTGAAAAGCTGTTAAATAATTAACAGCTTATTTCCGGACAAAATACGGAAAATAAGTAGTTTAATAATAACTGATCTAAGCTTTGTTATCAAGAAAGTGAGCAGAGTGTCTGAAAGCTCATCTTGCATGCTCATTCACTAGTCCCTAAATTAGTTGATTAGTTTAATCCACTACTAGACAGAGTAATGCTGTGGTCACACTACTTTTAGTATTACAGTATTACTTAGTATCACACTAATTAGTCAATTGTATCTAATAAATTACTAATATTTTTGACATAAAGAAAACTCTCTCCTGACCTTTTTTATTGAACATGCATGGAATTGACTAGATATTCCAACACAAAGTTGTGAGTTAAGATAAGTTTTTTTTTTTATTAAAAGATAACTAGACAGATATCATGGTTTCAGTGAATCTCATGTAGACAGTTTTGTTTAAAAAATGGTTTAATACAAGGGGTTTCACACAAATTTCTAGTCAAGTTAATTATTTTGGTTCAAGTACATTATGTGCAGCATGATTATGTACAGCTGACAATGAGAATGAATGACAGCTGACAAAATTAGCATCAACATTACCTATTTTATGAAAGACATTTCTTTTCTTGTATCCATGAAAAGAAAGATTTTTTAAGGGCTTCTGTCAAAAGTGCAAAATTACATTTTTCTAAATCCTGAATCAATATCATTTACTTTTCATGCAGGAGGGAAATAACATTATGCAGTTTAAAACCATGATCTTAAAGTTGACACCATGGCTGAAGTATCACTTTTAGACAGGTATGTTTTAAAACTGTTTTAGTCACCCAAAGTTTATGTGAATTGTGTTTTTTTTTTTTTTTTTTATGAATGGATACAGAGGTGTTTTTCAGCCACTGAAAACATTAAGCGAAAGTTTGACTATTTTCAAGTTCATGTAGTACCTTTTATAGCATCGATAATATAGTTAGTAAAATAGTTAGTTGTTCAAGTGTAAAAGCAGATTGAGGATCAGTGAGTATATTTGATAAGTACAATTTTCTTTTCCACTCTAACATTACTTTGAATGGTCTGAAATGTAGGTATGACTTCAAAACAACATTAGCATTGTTTAATTGACTGTGAAAAATGTTATATTTTATAGTCATTGATTGATTATATGGTTTCACTATTTAGAATTTGCAAACAATACATTTCTGAAATTATATTATAAAGGTGAAAGGCTAAATGTCCAATTATAAAACCAACTTGACCCCAATGCCAGTTTAACAGGTCAGACTATTCATAATAAAGATGTTTGAACTTAAACCCACACAGAAATCAAAATCTCAACATTGGTAACAATAATTAAATAAAAAAATAATAATAATTTAAAATAAAAGTAAAATAAATAAAACAACACAAAACAATCTGCAGAAATATCAGAAAAAAGCTGCAAGGAAGAATCTGTTCATGCTGAAATGCATGATGGGAGTTTTGTACTGTGCTGGCACTCAGCATGCATTGTGGCATAAATGAATTGCGCGGGTTTTTAAAATTTTTTTAGCAACCCTGTTTGAGGTTCATATCCTGTTTCTTGAAGTCTGTGTTTCTTAAATGGTAAAAATGTTGTTGGTGCTCTCAGAGTTTTTGGGCATAAATCAATAATTCTTTTTTTTTTTTTTCATTTTTAATGATAATTAGGTAACCTCTCATAAGAAGCTATAGTATTGTCCCAAACAACTTATATCAGATAATTACATTATTTATGACTTAACTTGGCTCAGTTGACGTTTCTGTGTGGAGTTTGCATGTTCTCCCTGCTTTCGCATGGGTTTCCTACAGGTTCTCCAGTTTCCCCCACAGTCCAAAGACATGCAGTACAGGTGAATTGGGTAGGCTAAATTGTCCGTAGTGTATGTGTATGAGTATGTGTGTGTGGATGTTTCCCAGAGATGGGTTGTGGCTGGAAGGGCATCCGCTGTGTAAAAACTTGCTGGATGAGTTGACGGTTCATTCTGCTGTGGCGACCCTGGATTAATGTGAGTGAATGTTTTAGGCATGTAGTAAACCATCAACAACTTTATTTGCTTCTAATTATCCAAATCTCAGTGTCAGCACATTCAGAAATAACAGTTTGTATGCAAAAGTCGCTAAACTTGTTTGACAGCAAAATTGGCTATATCCTGAGAACCAATTAGAAGGCACGAATCGAATCATATGTGTTCAATCAATATATAGCACCGAGCTGGTACGATGGCTTTTATGAAAGAAACCAAGACCTTGAGTGTGGTGAGAATGAATGAATGACAGCTTCTAAAATTGTCTGAGGGACATCCCCTTTTTGCCTAGTAGACCTTACTGTACCTTGTGTTTTTTCTGCTAATGTAAGCTATCTTTAAAAAGATAATTATAATGTATAAAACTTTACATTTATATTAGCCTACTTAATATTATCTATGCGTCTGATAAGCTTTTTATATTAATAGACAATTCAAAGATATTGATGTTTCATGTTGTAAACTACAATATTTCAAGCTGAGTTTACAATGTTTACATTGCTCTACTTATATTAAATCCCAAATATCAGAAATGACAACAGAGTGTTCAGATTGAATTCATGTCAGTTTTAATGTTATTGATTAATGCACTTACTTAACAGATTTCATTCATTCATTTTCCCTCTGCTTTTTCCCTGGTTTATCACAGGGGAATGAACCGCCACTTACTTGACAGATGTATTTTTAATTTTAGGTGGTTTCTGTAATTTGTTTAATGTTTAGAAAAATAATTTCTAATTATATATATATATATATATATATATATATATATATATATATATATATATATATATATATATATATATATATATATATATATATATATATATATATTTAGTGATTTTCAATTAAATACGCTGTCTTGTTCTTGGTGGATTAAGAGGTTTTTGCAAAAAAAAAAAAAAAAAAAAAAGCATAGATGCATTATTTATACAACTGATTGAACAGTCAGATTTTGCTTTGATATTTGTGCTTGGAGCTTTGTTTAGCAGAGTTTACTTTAAAAGAAAGGTGACTTGACTTTCTTGACAGAAGAAAAAAAGATGCTGCCTAGCAACACTTGACACTTGATACCTGCAATGACTGGTTTTCCAGTTATCTTAGAATTCCATCTTATGCACATGAGAATAAAACACCTAGCAGCATTCTGGGGTTCAGTATAAAAGAAAATGTCTCTAATAAAACTATCATGCTGTCCTCCTATATTGGCACTATTTGTACTGATTGGAGCCGAAAATGGTGAGTAAAATGAAGGAAACATAATTCAATATCAAACAAAATATTCATATACAAAAAATATAGCAAAATGACATAAATAATGCCACTGTAACATTTTCAAGAGGAAAAGGATTTGCACTAATGTTTTCATATTCTTTTTCAGCTAATGAATATTACGCAACCGAGTTGTCAAGATGCATCTACACCTCTCATGATCTAAGTGATATGGTGTTTATTGACAACTACTATTTTAATAAACATCTAGTCACACAGTTCAACAGCACTCTGGGGAAATTTGTAGGGTTTACGGAGTATGGAATAAAAAATGCAGAAATCTGGAACAATAGTTCCTTGCTGCAAAAAGAGATATCTAATGTTGATTCTGAATGCAGATTTTACATTAAAACCAGAGACAAAGCCGTCCGTGATAAAGCAGGTATGTACCTTAAAACTCTTCTGTGGTTTCTATTTTCACTAATGGAAATTTTGTTAATATTTGCTAACAACTAATTTATAATTATAGGGGAATCATATTAACAGGCAGCAAAGATATACGATTCTTATCTTAACATAAAATAAGACTTGATAAATAAACAAATACAATAACTTCTTTTAAATCAAATCATAATTAGATATTTTATAGCCTTTGATAAACTGTATGGTGAAGAGACATACAACACAGAAAAAAAAATCTGTCCATTTTGGCATTTTTTTAATCAGAGAGGCTCTGGCATCCAGCATACCAGCATATATGACAGCAACATGACATTAAACCTTTTATTAAATGCCTACGTTAACTTTTGCCATGCCATTTTCAAGCTCTTGATGAAAAATTATATTACAAATACTATTACAACTGCATTTTATCCACACTTTTTAGATTTATTTCCCTAAATTGAGTAAAATTTACTCAACAGCAGAGTTTAAGTTAATAAGACAATGATGGAGTTAATTAAGCGATGATTGAGCACTGATGACAAACACCTGCTGTTAATAAGCAGAAACAGAAGTGAAGCAGCAGCAGCTTCGCTCATTGCCTACCTGATTGACTTTATTTTTGTCAGATGTTCACAAAAGTCCATATGAGATTTATTGAGAATTAACTGTTTTAGTTATTTTCATTTTACAAAAAAAAAAAACGAAAAAAAAAAAAAAGTTTTCCCCCTGATGTCACCATCGTGGAGAAAAGGGGTTGATTTACTTGGACTCTTTGACTCAATTTCTCTTTGTCTACTACAACAAGTATAAAAAGAGTAACTATGATCAGAATGACTGGTTTTGTATTAATTCTTACTCTTGATAAGAGTTAAATGAGATTATGTTTGACTTTGCCAATTATGCGTAAATGGTGGTTAATCATATATGAAACAAAATTCTGTGTTTTCAAGAGAGTGGGCCTAAGCTGTGGTTATATGCATTTTTAAAACACATTGAGCATCTGAATCACTTTAGAGACACAGACATCAATAATCAGTGTATCAACAGTGTTTTTTTTTTTTTTTTTGGCTGCAGCGTATGCTGAGATAATAATACAACATTCATCCATAGTTCCCAGCATGCACTGTAGGAAAGAAGAAAAAAAAAACAGTTTAAGGAGCATATGCTAATTGTTTATGTCTGTGTGTTTGAGATGTTTAATGTGTTTTATAATTTGATAAAAGTATTGCTGAATTTTATTTTCTTGATACAGTGTTACTTTTGTGATAAAACATTATTCAAACTTAGTGGGTCAAATTCAATTTTACTGATTTGACCAATGAGTAAATCACCACAGAATCAATTATCCAGAGCCCAATTGCTCTCTTTGTACAATATTTGACACAATACACTATTTGGGAAATAAAGAGAAACTAACATAGCATCTCACTAGCATGATTCTAGCATGAATTAGTATGTTGTTAGCATGATTTTAGCATGAATTAGCATGTTACTAGCATGATTCTAGTATAAATTAGACATCTTAAAACACAAAGTGGTGTTTTTGTTGTTATTGTTGTTTAAAAAAATTACTTATAGTTCTTAATAATATCACTACATGGAATTTTATGTGGCAGAAATGAGGCCAAACAGGTTGTTAATAAGTAAAGCTGCTGTTTGTGGAGTTGCTTAATGATCCTCTGCTGAAACTTTGAGAGATTTGATGTGTTTTATATCAGTTGATTTCATCTACAGCTGTGACTGAAATCAGTTTTAGTTTTGTGCTTCTCTTCTGTTTCTGTTTATTAACAGTAAGTGTTCCTCATCAGTGCTTAATCATCACACAATCAATCCCTTCATTGTCTCATTAACTTTACCTCCGCTGCTGAGTAACTTTTGCTTAATTTAGAGAGGGACCAAATACACTCTGAACTTAGTAAACTTTACTCTGAGGATTTTTTACATTCTGTTGTTTGTTGTCATGTGGTGTATATTGCTGTAAAACACAATTTTGCTATTGTGATGTTGATATCTGAAAGCATCAACACATTCATACCCATAATCCAACAGGACCTTACCCCTGTTTGAAAACTACACAATCAATAACATCTCAGTTATTTGCATAACCCTCATTTAACAAAGGAGGGAACAGAGACAATGTAGTGGCTATTTTCTCTAAGGAGGCTCTCTCAGTGGTCAAGAAACAAAGTCTTACCCGGGATGTCTTTTACAAGTTTTATTCTTTATAAAGAAGATCACAGTCATACAGCAACAACAGTTTCTGCAGAGTGAGATACTTAAGCAAAGTGTGTTAACCTTTTTATCTAGTTTGTACTGCTTACGAGGTCAACTCCCAATAAGGCCTCATCTACAATTACGTCAGACGTCTTCTGCTGTTCGTGCGATATGCTCATAACAACCACACATCCTTCTTAGGATAATGAAAAAGCTTTCACCTAAAGAAATATAGTTATCTATAAAAATGTACACATAGGTTTTATGATGAACATATGGAGAACACAGATACACACATATGTAATAATGAGTCTTAGACAAGTTTCTAACATATAAAGCTTATCTAAAAATGAATTTCCATTACAATTCCTCTCTTTTTATCATTCATTGATAACTCATCATCAAATTCATTTTTTTCACCTTTTCTAAAATCACACTAGTTATAAATATCATTCTGATTATATTGATCATGCTGATTACAAAAAAATCATTCCAATTATATTAATCACACTGGTTACACAAATCATTTAACAGGTTTCTGCCCACATTAATACACTAGAGATGTTCAAACCCTCTTCTTAATATAGTTTCCCCATTAAGATTTACTTTTCAAAACATCCCTCTTCCCTGGGAGCCGGGCTAAACGAATAATCACTGTTATTGCGCTCCTGACCGAAGTCAGACCCTCAGTCACCCCTCAGAGGTTTCCATCACAGAAATTGCCTGTTATTTTCACATTATTGATTAATTTCACACAACAAAATTCAGAAACATTTGTCAATCAGTTAAAATTACTAACCCTCTACATTGTTGATTCAATCATAATACTCATAAACATAGGAACATGTTGTTGTTTGTGTACTCTTAAACATACATCGCATTTTTACTCTTCTCTCGATTTTCATGCAAATGATCACTCTTTTAAGACTTGTTACAGAACATACAACTCATGCAGTTTGCTGTTTTTGTTTGGATAGACTCAAAATACATATAAGCAAGCAAATAGTCGTCTCAAAATTCAAACAAAAAGTCAGATCCATTAACATTTTCTCAATTAAGTAACAGCCGTCACCTAAATCTGTTCTCAGTCTGTTTACCGGTTTTCTTTGTTCATATCCACATAGCTGCTGCTATCATCAAAGTCATAATCAAATTCATCCCCCATATCAATATTCATACCCTCTTTGTTGACAGCCATCTTTACCATCTGAAGGGATGTTGTAAATGTAATCAGTCTGCCAACTGACCATGATACAAATCTGAATATGCATGGCAGACAACATAATATCACCAGGCCCAACCCCAATACAGGTAAAACTACAGTAAAGGTCCAGTAGATCCAGATTCCCCACTTAAATGACAGCCAATCTAGCCATGAGTTGTTAGCGTTCTTAGGCACTTTTACGGCCAATCTCATTTTAACTACAATGCCAGTAATGTTTTGTTGTAATCAGGTTAATTAAGGTGACACTAGCAGCAATGCCAGTGTTGTTCTCCTCAGACCACACATTACTTGCACACAGAATGGATGCCAGCAATCTTTTCGTCCATCTTCAGACCCTTAATGTGATGGTCAAGCACAGCTTATTCACCTCTCTTTTGGTTGCCTTCTCCTCCGTCTGATTGCTGCTTGGTGTTGTATTCAGAAGTTACTGTTTCACACACACACCTCTTGACTTTGTTGTTGTTTCTCCCCAGCTGTGACCTTGCTTCACTCAGATATCAGCCTGCTCTTTTCCTTCAGACAGCTTCAGAGCCCCTCTTTCTCTCCTACTCCCTCGCAGAATCCTCCTCAGGTGGTGGAATTTTCCTGCAGTGCCCAGCGTGCACCCACGTCGCCCGCTCCGCGACCTTCACCGCTGTCTCAGTGGTCAGTAGCACTTGAAATGGACCCAGCCAACGTTTCGCTCTCCAGCTCTTTCTCCTCAGGTCCCTTATCACCACGAAATCGCCAGGCCTCAGATTGTGTAGTGGTCTGTCAGCTGCCTTCCCCAATGCGGCCTTTACCTGCACACAAACATTGGACAACACATGAGACATTTCTTTATAGTAATTCAACATGTCATCCTCACACACATCTGTTGAGGGCAGCTGCTGTTTACCCCCATTCACACCTACACGCGGTGGTCTGCCAAAGACAATTTCAAACGGGCTCAAATTCATTTTTGGTCTTTTTCTCATTCTCATGTACATCAGGACAATGGGTAGAGCTTGAACCCATGTAAGCCCTGTGTCTTCACAACATTTTGCCAATTTGTTTTTTCAGAATACCATTTTCTCTCTCAACAGCTTCGCCTGAAGCTGAATGGTAACTGCAATGTGTTCTCAAATCAATTTCCAAATATTGGCCCACTTGTTTGATTGCTTCATTAACAAAATGGGTACCATTATCTGAGCTTATTTTTAGTGGTATTCCCCATCTCGGCACGATTTCAGTCAGTAACGCTTTTGCTACCGCAGCCGAATCTTGTTTTGAGGTTGGAAAAACTTCAACCTACTTTGACCACATGTCAACCATCACCAAACAATACCTTTTCCCATTGCATGGGGACAATTCAATGAAATCCATCATCAAATATTCAAAAGGCCCTGTTGGAGGTGGATGAGATGATAGTGGAACCTTTATCGCTCTGGCCACATTGTGTGTTGCAAATTACACATCGTCTACAGAAATTGTCCGCAAATGTAGTGAACCCCTTTGTGAACCACAGTTCGTTCATTTGCGCAACCATTGCTGTTTTTGACACATGATCTTTACCGTGAAGTAATTTTGCATCATGTTGG